CCAGAAGGTTGGACAAAAATGCTTTTGATGGCCCCACACAGTCTGGAGGTCTCTTCACATACATTTTGGATTGACTTCAAGATGAAGCAGTTTTACTGCCACCAGTCCCATGTGGCCAGGACACACCTGGAGAAATGACCTGGGCAGGAACACCTGATTTCCTTCTCTTCCAGGAAAGGAGATGGGACCAGGTGATGCTAAACCCTGGACACAAGAGGAACCATGGTCAGACCACCACTCCCTCCTGGCTTTGCCAAGGGGCAAGGATGCTGCACCACCAGACCTAAGGCCATGCCAGGAGCGTTGCAGTGGCACACCAGATCCTGCTCAGAGAACTGAAAACTGACCCCCAGTGTCCCACAGTCTGCTTCAGCCAAGCAGCAGGGTCTCCATGGACATATGGATTAGACATCTCTGGAAAAAAAAAAAATTGCTAGGTATTTAATTACAGGGTTGGCAGGTGCTTCCATGATGTACAGTGTGTAGAATAAAATTCCAGGAACAGCATCAATAAACAGTATAGACAGTTTTAGTCTGGAATTAGCCAAGGATTTAGAGCAAAAATCATTGTGGGGCACACAGAGTATTGTAATAATGCTGTATTAGCATTATCTCTGCACACACAGGACAGCACTAGTTAGAAATACCTGAATGAATCACCTAATGGTTGGAAATCAGGACACTCGAGCACAAGCTGGGGTCCTGTGCTCATGGAAACACTGCTGAGGATTCAGTTTATCTCTCAGAAGCACAGAGCTTCTAAAACTCTGTTTTTCTGGGGTATCTCTGGACAGCGGAAAATAAAAAGTGGAAAAAGCCAGAGACAAAATTGCAGCTGAAGAGTTTCAGATCCTGTGAAAGAATTAAATTTAGCTTAGGACGCTAATTTTTATTTAAAAGCTGCAGCAGTCTCAGGGTGGACTTCACAAGAGAGGCCAGGGTCAGAGCCTGTGCACAGGTAGGTCCCAAGGACATGCCAGCAGGGAGCCAGCATGGATGTGATGGAAATGCTGGAGCTCTCTCTGAGCCTTGTAGCTTCATAAATCTCTGTAACCCCTGGAGGAAGAAGGATGTGAGACTTGCTGGGGAGCTGGCAACTTCCCAGAAGCCTTCCCTCTCTCCAGTCTTCTATCCACAGGCTGCAGCACTGTGGTATTAATGCACATCCAAATAGCTCTTTTCTTCCCATGGCTGGGAGTGGCTTACTCCAGCCTCCTCCAGTGCTGCCTCTCCCACCAAGAAGTTGCAAGGATTTAGACCTGAGACCACCACAGGGAAACTTGAGGGCTTTCATGAGAAAGTAAATGCTCCTGTTCTTTGTTCCTTTGTGGGAATTGGAAAAGCAGAAACTTCTACAGACACCAAAGAGTTTCATCTGCAGCCTTGGAAGGAGCTTGGAGTGATGGAAAAATAAAGTACACAAATATTGAGTAGAAAAATCATAAACTTAGGTTTCTATGATTGTAAGTAAGAATATACCTTAAGTAAATAAGAAACTGCATTGGTAAGATGGTGAAGGGTTCATAATGTAGGGGTGTGGTTGTGTAGAGTAGCTAAGAGTTCAGAAGTTATAATAGAAGCACATGTGTAACAAAAGTATAACAAAACTGTATAAGTGTAACAAATGCCTATCAGCCAAAAGTATCCACAGTGCAGTAGGAATAAGAAAAGGTGATAGGTTAGAAAAGCAAAATAAACCTTGTGGCAAGTGTTCATTAGATCAGAAAGTTCTATATTGTCTCGTAACAAAGAACTTGTGACTACTCTGAGCTATGGCCAACTCCTTGCTCCCTTAAAATCTCAGGGCCTCTGAGACTGATGTTAATCTGAGCAATAAATGGTTCTTAGCCTGAACACCTTCCCATCCCCTCATTACTAGCAGCAATGATGATATTCCTCGACTTCAAAGCCTACGTGTGAGAAGGTTTGTGAGCTCCTTGCTTTCCTCCTTCCCACTTCTGTCCCCATGGAGCTGTGCTGCTGGAATGTTCAACCAACGCTGCCAGCACAGAGAAGGAGCCCTGATGGGCTCCTTGGCCACTAAAGCTGCCACTGGAACAGCTAAGGTGGGAAGTACAGTATTATTCATGCTGCTTATTCCCTGAAAATGACATGGAGTTCATGTAGCTCTTGTCTGCGTGTTTTCCTTCACCACACTGCCTCACAATCTCCCATAAAATGCAATTTGCCAGGCACACTGAACACAAACTGCCTAAGCTGCATCCTTTCATTTGGTGTCCACGGCTGCAGCAGCACCATAATGAGTTTGTGCAATGCCAATATGCACTGTGCTAAACAAGCATAAATCAGAGACATCCAAAGGAATCACCAAGACAGAATCAGACAAGCGCAGGTAGAGAGCTCTGACAGCATTTCAGTTCCATGTGATTCCTGTAGCTGACATCCATCTGTACTGAGCTATGCACAGCAGATGCACTATTACCTTAAAGGAGTGATTGTGTTATGTTTAAATCAATCCTCACCAAAAGAATAGTGAATGCACCAAGAAACTGACTGCTTCACAGAGGCAACAGAAATGTATGTGGCTTTCTGCACACATGTATTACCTCCAGAAAACACCTCTGCAAAGGAAACCAGGAGTGCAGGGCTTCCAGCTCAGCCCTCTCTGACCTCTCTGTCTGATCTGGGTCAGACAACTTGGCTCACAAACTGCAAACTTTTGGCAAAAGGTAATTCCAGCTTTGTATAAATGTTAGATTGTCGTACAATGCCAGAGAAAAACTCCCAGCAAGTCACTGAAAAGAGGATACAGTCTTGCTACTGTCATAAAATTGAATTGCAAAGCAAAGCTCCCACTGTCCTTAGTGGTACAAGACCATAGTTTCAAACCAAGATGGGAAATTGTGAGCTGAGGAAAGGAGATATCACATCAAGAATGTGATGGAGTCTCTCTGTATGGCAAAAATAAGGCCTGGGGTCTTTTTCTGCAGCTCTGCTGAGTTCAAGATCACATGTGTGCAAGCAGCTGCAATGGTGTGCTTTGAAGCTGGGAAAAGGCTTTGTGAAAGTTATTTAAATTTTCATATAATAACACTGCCACCCCTAATGATAATATTAAAAATAAATGCCTCTGTTTTCATTCCACGAATATCCCAGTGACCATGCTGGCTGCTCAAATAACTCTCTGTAAATAAATCTTTCAGAATATTAACTCTAGGATTTTTATTGGGATCCCCTCAGCTCTAGTGGGCTCCTCAACTGGGCTGGTACCAAAGATAGAGGGCAAAGGGAGCTTTCAAAAAACCAACATTTTTCAAACAAAGTACATTTTTCTACTAAGCCTTGCTTCTTTAAGTGTGTCCCAATGTTTCCAGCAAATGTGGGAGTGGGATGAAGATAACAAACCCACTGTGTCAGACCCTGCCCTCTCAGCCCTGTGTTGGTGTAAATGGCAAACTCAGCTGCAGTGACTGACATCCCTGTGACAGTGAGGACCTTCCAAAGGTAACTGCTGTCCTTCCCTTCTTTCCTCAGAAGTTGGCAGAAAAAGAAACAACCTCTCCAGAAACAGCTAGTAGTAAACCTGACTTAATTCAGATCACCACCAATTAACTCTTGTAGCTACAAAAAGAAAGTTTCTCACTTATTGCTAAATTGTGCATCATCCCTACTTTGCTGTCATTCAGTGATGCAGGAGAAATGCCACATTAATCCAGACATCTCCAGTTTCCTTGCCTTAAAAACAGCAGCAATTTCCTTCCAAACTGGCTATTGAGATCAGATTTTGTCTTCCTTACTCCCAGGAAACACTGATTTCCTCAGGAGAGGATAAGGAGCTTCCTGCAGGGTATGGCATGGCCAGAGCATGGACACTGGCTCAGGTCACACACTTGGCTCTTTCACTCAACCTCTTCCCTGTCTCACATGCTGTAGTCAGTTCACACCTGGGTATGAATCTGGAACTACCTCAGCTAAGGATAAATGTCCAAAAGGTGTCTAAACCATGAGGAACAAACAACAGCATTTCAAAGGGACTATACTTAGTATTTAAACTGTGACTCTGGACCAAAAGGAGGCTGCAGAGAAAACAAGTCCCTGGTCAAAACCCACCTGATGCCTGTGTGAATGCCCTCACATTACTCATGGCTTTCAGCATCTCTTACTTATGTGAGAAGGGGTGGCAATGAACTGAGCCAAGCACAGGAACAGGCAGAGGAGGGAAAACAGATCCCAGACATCTGACTGAGCTCCTCACCTGCAGCAGGGCACACACATGCAGGACAGGATTCAACACCCCAGAGCTCCCACAGCAGGGCTGGGACTGCTCTGCAGCTCTCAGGCCTTGGTGGGTAAAGGAAGTTCCAGAAAGGAACTTATCTTATGGAGGCAGCAATATTCCCCCACGCTGCCCCAGTACCATGGAATGAAGTCTGGGGGAAGAGCTCAGATTTATCCCTCTCCCTCAGATGGCTGGAGCTCTGTGAGCTGAATTCCCCTGAACACTCTCTGAGCCTCAAACCCCAAGGAAAATGAAGAGCATTTCCTCCCCTGCCAGCATCTGCCAGCACAAGCACACATTTGGGAAGGAGGGCTGTGAAAGCATCACGTGCAAACAGGAAAAGGGGCTGGCCTGGAAATCTGCCTCCACTCACAAAAGCTGCATTATCTGCATATTCCAGGTGCCCTCAGTTACTTCAGTGCCAGCCCTGCCAAGACAACAGGATGGCAGCAGCAGGGTTGAGCACTTCCTGGCCACAGCACAGTGCAGATGCAACACTGCTTGACTTCAGCAGCCTCAGCTGTGCTCTAGGACAGGCAGCTCAAGCTGAGCCTTTGTTCACTCAAGGCTGGGCTATTAATTCAGAATTCACTGAGGCACAATGAACAGGGAGCCCAGTGACAACATTTTTATAGCCACTCTCCTTACAATGGGAGCTTGTAATTCCCAAGGCAGTGCTGGCCTCTGTTTGATTGCTGTACTTAAATCTCCACCTGTGCTTTTATAATAACCAATATTTTCTGTCAGAGCTTGCTCTTACCCTGTTGGAATCAATTCTTGTCCTGGAGGTGTAGATGGGAGGAGGAATGTTGAAGGCTTGAGGAACAAGATACTCTTCAGCATCCATCATATCTTCCAGGTCTTCCTCATCGAGAAGATTTTGGAAGAACTTGCTGTCATTTGGGCTTGGGAGCTTCATACGATCATCTCCCTGAACAGATTGTATTGAGAGAGGAAAAACATCAAAAGATGGATTAACTTCCCAAAGAGAGAATTTCAGCCTTCCTAATGCCCTGGCAGCCAGGCTGCAGGGACCACGCATGCTGCTTTGTTTGTTCAAAAGCACTATATCCACATAATTTGTGGGTTTGTTTTGTTGTGGTTTTTTTTTTTGTTTGTTTGTTTGGGTTTTTTTTTGTTTTTTTTTTTTTTTTTTTTTTTTTTTACTGGGAACATGATGACAAAAAGGGAGTAACTGCACAAATTGAGCAAAACCATGATTTTTTGGCATTCTTGTGATTGAGCTTTTATTCTTTCCTCTCTCTTTTTCCCATACAAGATCAGCTTCTGACCCAAGTTCTGACATATTTTGTGAAATATCTCAGCCATTTAGGCTCAAATAGGAAGGGTGGGGAATAACAAGGAAACTGTTGTGTCTGGATGTTTGCTTTATTTTAAATGGCACTTTAAGGGACTTAAGACCAGGCCCATCTCCACCAGCCCTGGAGCTCCAGAGGAAAACTCCCCCCTTGTGCAGGATCCTGCTCCAGCAGAAGCACAGCTGGCACTGCAGGAGGGCTGAGCCACCATGGGATGGGACTGCTGCCACCACCCTGACCCACAGGGTGTCAGCTCCTGTTCTCACTCTGGCACGTTGTTTTCTTTTACTTAATTTTTATTTTTATTTTTATTTTTATTTTTATTTTTATTTTTATTTTTATTTTTATTTTTAATTTTATTTATTTTTTCATTTCATTTTTATTTTTAATTTTATTTATTTTTTCATTTTATTTTTATTTTTAATTTTATTTATTTTTTCATTTTATTTTTATTTTTGTTTTTTTCCCTAACAAAGAACTGTTATTCCTACTGCCACAGGGCAGTTTCATGGGATGAACCCATGAAGGATGAACCTTTTCCAGCCCTGTCACGGGGATGTGAAGCCTCCAGAGCCCTCAGAGTGTAATGAGAACTGAAAGTTCCTCCCTAGCATTAGAGCTACCAGTGTGACACAACTCCCTGTCTTCTAAGAAACTTTCATGTTTAGGCTGTGAAAAGAATCCTGCTTGTGATCTCAGCAGTGCAGGGAAAAGACTCAGCCTAATCAATTTTAGAACCGAGGAAGTCCTTGCTCTAAAAATAGATCCACTGTCTGCCAGTGGACAAAATCTGTAATTCGTTCATGAGGGAATGCAAAGCACTGAGCAGCTTGTGAAGGCAGAGACTGTATATGTGCTCATAAACATGAGCTTAGGAAATCAATTTCAGATTGTATTTATTATTATTATTATTATTATTATTATTATTATTATTATTATTATTATTATTATTATTAATGTGATACTGACACTGTCCATTCTACTTCATGCTGGTATAACCTTGTGGTCACTGTTTGCTTTAGGTTCAAGAGCACCTTGAATTTCAAAACATTCAAAGCCAACACCCCTAAGAGATGGGTGTTGCAGAAAAAAAAATGTTTTTCCCAGCCCTGTGATGCTGCAGGGTTGCTCACCTGAATTACCAGGTATCTCTGAGGGTCTCGGGCCATTCTGGAGAATTCAGCAGCCAGCTCCTTGAATTTTGGCCGACTGTCAGCATCAATCATCCAGCCTGGATGAAAGATGAGAAAGAAAACAGTTAAGTGTCAAGGGTGGAAATCATTCTGGTTTTTTAAATGCACAAGGTTGAACTGCTTGATGGCTCTGGCCCAAAGAAAAGTTGCAATCAAGAACCCAGAAAAATGGAAAGTCAGAATTCTATGATGCATAAAAGGGGAAACACCTGGTTTTGGCCAGACTAGGTTGTTCCTTATTACATGGAATTTTCCTTAATTTTCTGGGCTCCTCTCTGTCCCAAAGACAGCAACACCACTTTGCAATTTTCCCCATCTTGCACACTTGGATATCAGCACTGACTGACTTTTATTAAGGATGAGTCTCACCACATGGGACATTTTTGCACTCAACAAAGCCCTTACATAATTTAATTTCCACCTCTGTGCACAGTACAACAGTTTTCAGAAAATACTTAATTTACTTGTAGTTGTCCTTTCCCTTTTTTTTTTCCCAGGGCTTTTGTGTACAAAGCAAAAGGGAAAGGAATATATATATGATGGATGAGATGTCTGTATGTTAATCTCACCTAAATTAAGCCAGAAATATCAGACAGATATTTCTAATTCTTTTTAAATTAGAAGCATAACCTTGGAGGATACTGTCATTAGAGGGGGTATCTTGGAGATAAAAAAGTTGGAAGGAACCATGTGCAGACTTTTTTTCCTTTTTTACTAGAGTAAAAATATTCATAAATTTTTGTACTGGACTAAGAGTGATAAAAAATAATCCTCTCTCTAGCATTTCTTCTATTAATTTTACTTTTTATTATTACTATTGCAACCATCATTCTTGCTACTAACAATAAAACCTTTGTGATTTCTTTCCTCAATATTTGGAAACGGGGTTTCTCCTCACAACCTTCTCTGGCTGGGTATCCATGTGCCATAATTATTTTAAATACTATCTTTTTTACATCAGACTCCATTGTCATGGAAATGACAAGGGTTTACAATAACAATCATACAATTTTGACTTCACAGCAAGAATGTGAGATAACATCTGACAGTAATGAGAGGCTGAGCTAACTCGGCCCTTCAGAGCTAACAATTGCAAAACTGCAGAAGATGTGCAGACAGTGTTTAAATGGAATTTACAGAGTCTTGGCAGGCTTTTGTTTTGCAGCAGCATCTTGCCCTGTTTCCCAGCTCTGTCAGAGACTACCCATGCAGATGTTCTACACCAGGGTCCCTCTTGCAGCCAGCACAGGGGTATCAAAAGTGCCAATTCCTTACACTTCACCATCACCATGTATACATCAATGGTGCAGATTGGGGGCTGGGGCAGGCGCTCTCCCTTCTCCAGCAGGTCGGGGATCTCTCGGGTTGGGATTCCATCGTAGGGCTTCCCACCAAAGGTCATCAGCTCCCAGATGGTCACTCCTAGGAAGGAGAAAGAGTGTCAGTGTTTGGGGCCATGTCGGAATCTGTGGCATTGATGATTCCCAGATTGTAGAAAGTCTCTGTCTCTCTGCCCTGCTGCCAAAGCAGAAGCCATAATTGGTCTGTGCTGGTTTCAAGGTAGTTTATTCTGTTTATCTCTCACATGTTCTGCTGCCCTGCCCAGCTCTGTCCTGCAGGGCAGCGTGTGGGGCTCTGCCCTCAGTGGGATGTTACAAACATTAAATACTAGAAACTCCCTGGGCTGGATTTACAATAACGTGCCAATATCTGTCACCTACGTTGGACAGTGTGTCCCCAGCCTGAACCAACAGAACAATGCCAACACTACAGTGACACATGGAGGGCATGAAGAAGGAGAAAAAGGACAAGGCACACCCAATTTGCTCCATCTTGTCCCTTTTGGACCCCTCATCTAGAATCCTAAAATTTTACTTTTGCACCCATGCCACACTTAATTATTACTGATATCAAACACTCAGAGTTTGTAATTCATCCTGTAAGATTGAAAACTCTTTTCTATGGACAGAGATCACAGCCAGTGTCTCTGGGGGCTCTGTCCAGGGGGTTCCTGACCCCTGCCAGGGTCCCAGGGTAGCCAGAGGGAAGCTCTGGATTCCCACAGGGTCACACTGCTCAGATTCCCTCACAGCAGAGTAGCCTGGCCCAGGTCTGCACTGCAATCTCTTCTTCTTCACCAGTGCCTGGAAAAATGCTGAAGTTTGGATCAAGAGAGATGAGCAAGTGGGTGTGCAGTGCCTAGCTGCCATCTGGGCTTAAACCAGGACAGTCTGCCACTTAAAAACTCTGGAAAATGGTGAAACAGCACTTTGTGGCAATGTCCAAATGCAGCTTCCCTCATTTTTATTGGTGTAAGAAATGGCGTGAGAGACCTGAGGCACATGGGTGCAATAACAAAAGAATGCATCACACTCTTTTACCAAAAAGGGAAATGAGTGCCTGATGTACTCTATTATTTTAAGGGGGAAAGCACAGATGTTCCCTAAACTAGACCATCAATTTCCCACAAAGGTACAGCACTGAGTAACATTAGGTCACTGGCTTTTCCTTGGAAGCCATTCACAGCCACTGCTATAATTTTCCCCTTAAATCACCTTATGGATCTGAGTTTATCATAGTGCTGCACTACAAACCCAAGATTCTCTTGCAGAAAAGCCATAGGATTTGTTTTGGCTTCAGAGCTGGAAATTAAGATCATATATCACAAGCAAAAGAATTTGTGCTCAAACAGAATCTTACATGTTGAAAATGCTGCTCTCACACTGTTTTGTTTAACTTTTATTTCTGTTGCAAAGGTCATTCTAAGCACGCCTCAGATCAGTACTATATTTTGACAACTGTCATGCTAATGTGAAAAGTGATGGGCAAAATTACCACATGAGTAAACCACATTTATTTCACCCTCATTCATCTCCTTGCTGATATGAAATAACTGTTGTTAATATTGTTAACTACTGTCAAATGCTTATGGTCTTTTCCTTTCTGATTATAGATGTTCTGGGCTTCCTGCATTTAAAATGAATTTCATAAATGAAGACATGTTTTTTCCTGAGTGATCCAGGGTGTACAGAATTTGAAGAGAAAGAGCAGCTTTACAAGATCAGTTGAACTCTCCCAGACTCTTTTCAGCTGACAAGAAGAGGGCAGCAACCCAGCCACAGCAAACAGTGTCTTTTGCTGCTACCCACAGGTAAAAATGAGTAATGAATAGAGCCGTACACCCTTCTGGTTCAAAATGATATGGCAACAGGAAATGCAAATAGGACTCCATAGCCCCAGATATTGCTGCAAATTTCCATTTACAAAGGTATACATGATTTTATTAGTAATAGCTATAGCAGATAAACAGGCAGAGACCTTAGCAGATGTGGCAGACAGCTCGTCTGAATAACCATTAGCAACACTGAACGAACACCTCATTTCTCAAATATCACTTTTTCTCAGCGTGTTTAGCTCACCAATTCCCAAGTTATCTGTGAAATTAAATAGATGCTTGTTCTAGTTAGTTTGGAGAGCTTGTCTCTTCCTTTTCTTTCTCTTACCATATTTGCTCTGTATTATGACAAATTCCCTTTTATCTGACTCTAGGTAGAGAAAGTCCCATAAGCCTGAAAATATTTTTTGACATTCATGGCTTTTAGAGTTGAGCTTTTCAAAGACTGCTGAAAATTGTGACCTGCAGCTGTATTTTTATGAATCCATGGCTAAGCTGAAAGAGGTCTTCTTCTGTCATCATAATCAGCCAAACTGCAACCAGACCAGACCTGGAGGCACTCACCCCAGCGGGGAACATCATGATAATATATTTCAGTGAGCAGGGAAGTAACACAGGAGAGAGTAACAATTGCTGCTTAGAGTTACACATTTAAAGGGAAAAAAAAAAAAAACCAACAAAAAACCCCAAAAAACCTGAAGAGCAAATGCCTCTGGAATTAACTCCTTTGGGAAAAGAGGATATATTTAACATAGTTGAACACAACTTGGTTTAATGCTTTAAAAGACACAAATTTTTGAATGAATAATGAGAAGATTTACCATAGCTCCACACATCACTCTGATGGGTAAATTTCCTGTAGTGTATGCACTCCAGAGCCATCCACTTAATTGGCATCTAGGGAAGGACAAGAGAAATGTGACCTTAGAAATACATAATTAAAACAATACAAACAAATCCTCTATGAAGACAACAACTTTCTCCTTGCCTCCTTCAGTGGTGAGATTGAAAAAAACCAGAGGAAATGGCTTTTCCTGCCCTCTAGAATGGGGCTGTGCCTCATAAAACTTGGAGGTGGGACAGATGAACCAGTTACCTGCAGAAGTTGTGATATTTACTGATTCAGAAAGTAATAGAACAACCCATGTTTTCATCAAACCTTTGTAAAGAGGGACCAACACAAAATTGCATATAATTCCCCTAAATCTGAAGTGCAGCAGAGAAGGTGGAATGCAGGAGCTTTTCTTCCTTCACAGTTTGCAATCTCTGCAATCTGGGATAGCAACACTGATATCTCAGCTGTCCTCTAATGAGGCCAGGTTTCAATGCAGTGACCAAAACACGTCACCATCCCCATCATCATCAGGGTGAACAAGCAGTGAGGAGAATTTGCTGTGCTTTTTTGTTAACTCCTAATATTTGTTAGAAACTTAGCCATCCCAGTTCTCTGCATCAGCACAGCAGTGGGAAAAGTTGCTCCCCAAACTAAGCCAGCAGCCCCACTTTCATTCCCCTGTCAGGGAATCATCTCTCCTGGCAGAGAAGGGTGTGCAGGCAAACCAAACCTCCTTCCTGCATTCCAGCCCATCCTCTTGAGTTCCTGTTAAAATGGGATTCATGGTGTTTCCCATTCCTGAGCTGGGCCCAGCAGGCACAGCTGATGCCTCAGGTTTGAGCTTTTCTATTTTTCAGATTCTCTGCTGCTTTAGTGTGTGGGTATGGACTTCATATCAGGGGATGGTGAGCTCTCTGTACAGAGTAGAAACAAAACAATTCCTTCTCTAGCTTGGAGCCAAGGACAAATGATCCAAATCTCAGGCCCAAGAGCACAAACAATGGTGAATCAAAGAGAGAAAAACAAGCAAGATGGGACTTCACAGGCTAAAGCTGTAATTGCACAATTAACTCCAATATGCAAATGGACCAAAACTTATAAAGGTGAGAGCCCCTGTGACCAGTTGTCCATTTTGTGACCATGTTGGTTCATCTTGGGTGTAGCCCTGGCTGGGCTCTTGTGCTGCCCAAGGTGGATCCATTGAGGAGATCCTTCTAATAAATCCCTGCTTTATTCTTTAACTCTGTGCAGCCTCTGTTCTAGGCCAGCCTTCACAAGGCATCACCTTGCAGTCTGTGAATTCCTCATGGACAAGCACTTAGGAGATTTTTACCTGGCAGGGAGGGACTCGTACGGGTTGCCTTCAATTTGGAACTGTGGAAGAAGTACTGGAATAAACCAAAGGGATGAGTAACTGCAGGCAAAATCTGAACAGATGGTGGGTGTAAAAGCAGAGGATGTGTCTTCATTCAAAGCCTTATGAAACTACCTTCCATGAAGTTCACTAATGAACACAAAATATAGAGTTATGGCAAAAATAGCACCTTTAATAAAGGCTGCCTTAACTCTTGCAAAGACAGTTCCTCCTCCCCCACTAAACTCTGCAGAAGTGCACTGCTTTCATTCCCATCGCATCCCAGATGTGAACAGCTGCTGAAGGAGCAAAGCTGCCTTGTTCACTATGGGATAACTCAGGTTGGAAGAGATTCAGGAGGCCTCTAGTCCCACCTCAGGTTCAGAGCAGGTTTAGCTACCTAGGAGATTAGGCCGAGCTGCCCAGTCTGGACTTGAAAATCTTCCAGGATGGAAACAGCATCACCTCTGTTGACAACCACTTGATTGTCCAGTCTGAACCTCCCTTAGCATGCTCTCAATACTGGCTTCACAGGATGCTTTTCTGGACCTGGGGAGTGACACATCTGCCATAAATCCTTCTCCAGAGCTCTCAGCAGGGTAACAAGTCCAAGACACAGCTGCCAGGGAAGAGCTGGTTTGCAAGGATCAACTCTTTTTCTGTCATTCACTGTCAGATGGAGGGAAGGGGCTGAGGGCTTACCAAGAAGAGGATTACAGAAATGAGGGAACCAGGAAGAAGCTGCCAAAAGCCCATCTTCCCTGTCCATGGGGAAATGGGAAAGCACTGGTGGCTCCTCTCAAGCTCTTCACCTCCCTGAGTGCCCTGGCCAGGTGATGCAGGGGCAGCAGCCACACAAACAAGGCAGCAGCTCATCCCAGAGAACAGCACACGCTGGCAACAGCTGCTTGTCCCAGGCAAGGGCACGAGTGAGCACAAAAAAACCACAGATAGCAAGGAGACAGCAAGCAGAGTGAACATCCAGGAAAAGGAATGACAGGTGAAGCAAATCCTTTGGGATTCTGTGACAGACTGAAATGGGGAATTTTAAGATGTTTAGGAAGCACCACGTACTTACTGCCTTCTGAATTTTATCATGCATTAATGTGAAATTGGCAGATATGAGGTAAGGCACTACACGGCCATGGTGTGGTTGGCTGGATAGTAATAGGGGAAAAGATGTGGTTTCAAAATTATCCTCAGGCTGGGTTTTACTGGCCTGGCATTCAGCATGGTACTGGAGAGGTGGACACATGACATAACATATGCAGGCTCTTCCAGTGTGATAAAAGAGTTGAATTCTCAAGTTCTGTGGTTTTCCCTTTTGTTTTCACAAAAATTACTTGTCTGGGAAAATGGGACTGCACGTTATTGAGTTGTATACTGGCCAGAGAAAGGGGTTGGGCAGGAATGTCCCAGAACATCCAGCACTCATTGAACCAAAGTGATCAAAACAAAACACAAATTGGAGCATGTGAAAAAATGCTAATTCTGAGTGTGAAAACTGCTCATACAATTATATTTCAATGCCTGGAGAAGCTCACTGTGCAAAAAACGAGCAGCCTTCATGTGTGCTTTCACAACTGAGTTCTTCTGCAAGGCAGGGCTTTGCTCAGTCACTGACAAACTCACACAGACAAAAATCCCACAGGGCCACACCAACCCAAGGAGTAACTTCAGGAGGTTTGTCACAGCATGGCAGATTTACCTCCAGACATGTTCAGTGCTCACCTTTCCCCCGTCAGCATTGTACTCCTTTTCATCCCCTTCCAGAAGCCTGGCCAAGCCAAAGTCAGTGATTTTCACGTGGTTTGGTGATTTCACCAGGACATTTCGGGCTGCCAGGTCCCGGTGCACGAGTCTCCTCTCTTCCAGGTACATCATGCCCTGAAGGAATAAGAACAGTACAATAATGCTAATAAGTCTTACATGGTTCTGCAGAGCTAACTTTCACTGGTGACTTATAAAATGGCTGGTTCTGTTCTGAGTATTTACAATGAGAAAATGGTTTAGAGGGCAGAAGTTCAACATTGCTCTTGCTCTGAACAGAGGCAGGATTAGATGACCTTGAGTTAGTCCAGTGTGAATGATTCTATAAGATTCAATTACCAAAGAGAAAAAAAACAACAAAGTAACATATAGATAGCTCTTTTGCTTCATCAAGCTTAAGATCTGGAAATGTGAGACAAAGAAAAGAAATATTATGGTCCTTGTTCTTCAGACAGGAAATGTGATGACCATAAAAAATAATCAATTTAGCTAAAGCCCCCCGAAATTAGACCACACTGGGAAACAATCCCAGCTCTGTCACATTCCAGACAAGTGTCTTTAATTCAAGACAAAGATTCTTGTCCATCCTCAAATGGTTTTTAAGATGGTCACAAATTCTCAATTCTCACTATCCTCAGTGGATTAGAAGGAAAACAATTCTTTATCCCAAGTGCTGCAACTCCCTCACCTTTTCACTCCCTGAAAATATTGCCTGTAGTATTATAATAAGGCATTAGATCAATGGCCCTTTTTTATGAGCATATGTATTCTGTTTGAAGCATATTCTGTTAACAAGCCCATCCAGCTGCCTTTAAAGATAAGGCAACATATACTCAAACTGCCTGGCCTTAACCTTATTCTTATTCTGATGGGAGACTAACCATCCACCAGCAGTATGGAAATTTGCACCATGCTTTGTGACACTGAGATCAACACCAAGGCTTGGTCTTATTAATTATATAACACACAAAGGATAGTTGGGCAGGGTTACAAGCCTATAATTTCATTAAAAGGCATTTATGACATTAACCACCATTATTAGAACTTAGAAATGAAATCACACACTTGACAATTGCCTTTAAGGTATCTCTTAATATATTAGCTCTGTATAATATATATGATAATTTTTAAAAAGCCATTTCTGAATACCAAAGAGATCATATTATCCCATAATACAGATGATCATTCAGAGAGTCACATGTAGTGATTAAAATAACCAGATTACTCAGTGCCATGGGCCAGATTTTATTATCCCTCCACAGCCTGAGGAGCTCACAGGTACCTGTGCCCACAAAAGCTGCCTCCCATGGTCTCTGGCCCCAGCCCTGGCACAGGATGCCAGGGAAGCTGTGGCTGCTCCATCCCTGGAAGTGCCCAAGGCCAGGCTGGATGGGGCTTGGAGCACAAAACATCAAAATAGGCTTGGAGCAGTCTGGGATAGTGGAAGATGTCCCTGCCCGTGGCAGGGGGTGAGACTGGATGGGCTTTAAGGTCCATTCCACCTCTAGGATTCTATGAAAGCATCAAATGGAGCCCTTAACTGGTTTTAGGGGGAAAATTTCAGTGCAAACACCAGTAAAAAGCTCTGAAAATAGGTGGGGGAATGTTTGGCATAAACAGTATTTCATGCAGCCAACATGAAGGGCTTTTAAAGAGGACACAGGGACTCTTTGGCATAAAGCAACTGAAGTTATTTTTTAGAAGCACTGCTATTTGAGGTAAACACACCCTCCTGCCAAGTGCAAATCAGTATTTTTGGCTTTTGACCATCAGAATCGTAAGTCTTTAAAAGAATCATGTTTTTTGACATCAATGTTTTTGACATCAAATTAAAGGTGCTAGACAAAGAGACAAATAAATCTCATGGGCTAAATTGTGAGTCACACAAGAATCACACCATGATACCAGCTGATGAGGGAATTCTGCTGGCATCACAATATATCAGACCCAAATAAAATTATAATCTGTAACAGATTGACTTGTACCTATCAGCACTGAAACAATATGAAAATGTTGCAGATGGCTTTTGGCCAAAATGAAAATACAGAATTTGTCTTGTGAAAATCAGAACAGATGACCTGTACCAAGGCTTTAGCCTCCTGTTTCTAGTTGATGATGGCAGGAATGGATGGGAAGGTGTGCAAACACATCCTTTGTTGAAAGAATTACACAACCAAATTCTCAACCACGCCTCTTTGGTCTTATTTTACTGTCTCTAATTTCAAGCATTTTTTTAAGCCTATAGGCTAAAGCTTTAGGACATTTCACTCTTTATTCTATTAATTCACTTCCATTTTTTTCCAATTTTGTGCTATTATATAGTATCATTTTAGTAAGATTCTATTTCATTCATCCTCACCCCACACTCTCTCAAGAACTAGAAATATGTGTAATCACCAACACCTGGCATTGCTGCTCAGCAATACCACAGCTGGTTTTCTTTTCTTTTCTGTCCAGAAAGAGGGCAAAAATAACTGTCTGTGGATCACTGCAGTTTGCTACACCCCTGTCAAACAACCTTCTTGGGGCTGCCTCCCACCTGTGTTATCTAAAAGCCAACATCAGCCCCTGTAGGGTTGGTTGGCAGCTACAAAATCCTCTGCAGAGTCCATGGTCTGCAGGAATGTAAATCCTCTTGGGAATACCCAGTGGAACCACGTTTGATTTTCCTGATGCCCTATCAACAAGCTTTAAATGTGGATGCAGAATTAAAAAAGAATATATATATATAAAATATTATATATATGTAGTTATATATTTCAATATAAATATTGAAAATATACATATACATATATATATGTAGGTATATTTTTCAAATAGTCTCATTTTTCAAATGAGGCTATACAAGTGAAAGGAAAAGAATGTAAAAAAAGAGAATCCTACAGTATTCACTGCAGCAATACTCTCTAAACATATATTAATGCAGAGGACCACTATCTGAAGACATTTTTGAACCTGGCAGGAGAAAAAAATCTCTATATGAATATTTAATATTTTAATATGATACAGAAGTATGATAAAAATACACAGTTGGTGGCATCCCCACCCAAAAAACCCATGAGAGAATACCAGGAGGACACTTTATGAGTTGAACAGACTAAAAGTTATTCATTAAGAGCTATGAAAAAAGATCTTTTGCAATTTTATTAAGGAGTGTTTATAAATTCTCTGGCACCGTGATAGCTTTGGAATGGTCACTTCAGGTACAGTCAGGTTTGCTCTTTTCACAAGAAAAATATCATACCTGAAAATGAGAAAATGTGCTGGCAATAAATGGAAGTGGGACAGTGGAAAGGAGAATTTGTATAAAAAAATCCACGGCACAAGAGAAGACAATGATCTGGGACAGCTTTCTGATCTTTCCAAGTGCTGAACTTCAGTGGAGAAAACATCAAATTAGGTTCATAAAGAATTAGGATTTCCAGTGCTGTGGAAGTATCAGCAAAGCTAAGCTGGTGAAGAAAACAGGAGAATAAAAGGATTTTTTAAAAATGGAAAATGAAGTTTTTCTGGCAAATCAGGGGTTTGAGATCTGCCTTGAAGTTGTGGCCATAATTTGCTGTTCCTTTACTTTAGTATAACCAGTGCTACTTCCTGCTATTGCTGTAATTTGCCTGAAAGCTCCTTCATTCAAGTGCCTGGATTTCATCTCCAGAAAAAAAAAAAAAGAAAAAAGATATTCATTACTCAGGACAGAATTCAAACAGGTATGTAAGTCATTAAATGCAAAGTCCTTTTGGGATAATTGCTGGAGATGAACTGAAGTGTGTTGAATCACTAACTAAAGTTTAACATATGTCTTCTGTCTTGCATGACACAAGACATCATTTTGCAAGAACAAATCCAATTTTAAAAGTAAGTATCAAGGCCTTCACCTGCCCTATGAAGGGGATGCTGCCAGCCCGAGCTGGGGACTCACTCACCTCGTGCTAGGCACACATTCTAAAATTAATCCTCACCAATTTGGGGCACCAATTTGTGCTGGCTTGTGGAGTTTTTTCCTTTCACAAACAGGATGGGACTGCTGGGGTACATTCCTTGAGCAGCATCAGCCTCATTGCATGGCTGAGACAATTGAAAGATGGCAAAAGCTCATGCACAGCCAGCAGCAGCCAAAGATTTCTCTGTTACAGAGCATTTTAAAAACTTTCTAGCCAACAGCACATTGCTAAAGCTCACAGGCAGTTGTTCTAGCCAGTCACTAAAAGCACAGGTACACCTGCTTCACACAATGCTTGTCTTCTCTCTATTAACAACTCACAATACTCCAGTATTAAAACCTTCTAATATCTCACTAAGCATATTTTTTGCAGTCTCAAGGTCTATCTTGGCCAAGCCTAAAACTCAAGCTATAGTTTCATATGCTTGCTTGCTGTACTATTGTAATTTTTTCTACCTTCAGACTTTGCAGCTGCAGCTGATTCTAAGTTTCTCTGCTCTCTCTATTCCTAAGGCCTGTTTTACAGCTTTCTGGAAATCATCTCACCTTTACTGTTTCCCACAGAGGGATGCCCTGGGTGGGCTGGCCTGGGAGCTGGCACTGGAGGTCACCTCACAGGCAAGGGGAGGGAAGGGGGACGCTGCCAGCCCCAGCTGGGGACTCTCTCACCCCTCCACCAGCTCACCTGCCAAGGGCTCCTGAAAATGTCTGCAGCTCTGCCAGCCCTGGTGAAGCTGGCAAGGAAGAGCCAGCCCTGCAAGCTCAAATATTTAGGAGTTCAATTCAATTATAGGGGATGAGCTAATATCTGTCTCAAAGAAAGCTTATCTGATAGCCATGTATTTCTTCCCATCTCCTGCTCACTTGACAAGCTCGCAAGGTTTCACTTGTCTTCAGTTTGAGTTTGAAGCAATGTGCCATTAATGTGTAACAAGCTGTATCTCAGGGTAAAAGTGCTTTTATCTCAAATTCAGATGCACCAAGTTGATACAACTATCTGGATTTGCCTGCGGTTGCTTTGGTCCTGTCCACCTGAGCAGGACCAGGTGACAGAAGCTTTGCCAGCTCTGCCATCTGAGCAGGTGTGACACGAGCAGAGGGGACCCTGCTGATAATGTTTTCCTCACTGTCCTGCTGTGACTTTGCTAAATCTTTTCAGACTAAACAGTTCAGAGTA